TCTCTGTGTCCCCCACCCCCCTCTAAAACTGTTGGTTTAAACAGCGCTCTGCAGTTTAGGACGAGTCTTCATCCCCCCTCCCCGAACAAAAATCACGGACGAGATGAGCGCCCCGCCGTGGCAAGTTATCTAGGGGAAACACTGGATGTAATCCTTGTTGAGGCGGACCCCGTCTTGCTGGAAAGCTGGCCCCCGGCTGGAGCGCTGTGTGTCCGCGCGTGTGTTCATAGACGCCGAGGAGAGAAATTATGGAGGACAAAACGAAACCCAATCATATTAACGCACGTTAAAATAATTGTCAACATTAACTATTTGCTGCGTTAATACGATAACGCATAAAAATAAACTACTACTACTTGTACTACTATTCCTACTTCACGTTTTTTCACTTATCACGGGGCTTCAGGGTATGGATCCCCTGCAATCAACGAGGGACTACTGTATTTTCAACACTTTTGTGCTAATTTGTTAAAATTAGCGTTAGCATGTTAGTTGAGTCTGGTGGTAATTTGTTAGCACAAGTATGTTCAATAAAGTATAATGAATTGAATGTTCAGTAAATCAACATGATAATAAATGCTTCATGCTAAAACACAGAAAAGTTAGCATTGTAGGCCTGTTAGCATCGGGCAATGTCGTTCCTTTGCTTCAGAGACCCTAAATTTTCCCGCTCGTTACATTTTGGGACCTGAAAAGACATCGGTAAATAAGTCAAGGGTTCAGGTGTAGCCTATAGAAAAGCAGAGGACATGTGTGGCAACATAAAAACATTATGGGCTGTACTTACACCACCCAAGCTAGCATTTAGCCTTTCAACACAGCTGGCACAGCTGTTGTGTCTGATTCCTGCTAATGTGATGCACTGAATCAGTTTAATGGGCAGCTTAATTAAACAAATTTATTTAATCCAGAATAATGTGCACATTTTTTCAACAGTTAGAACAGTATGAGGGAAAACTAAAGATAAGAGCATAGTAATCAAAAACAGAATTAAACTTGTCTTTATTATTATTATTCTCACTCCTTTCTGTTATATTATCACTGAAAGGTATTTCTGTTTTTCCTGCTCACTTCATTACTATGTCAATGTCAATTTATTTCTATAGCACATAAAAACAACAATAGCTGACCAAAGTGCTTTACAGTTAAGATGGATAAAAAGAGTAAAAAATGCATCTAGTGCCACTCAAAAACATAAGAAAGTAAATACAACAATAAAATCAGCTCAAAATTTGTTCTCAGACTCTGCATGGATCGAATGCCAAGGAATACAAATGACTCTTCAGCAAAGTTTTAAAAGTCTCAACAGTCTGAGCGGTCAATGTAATTCTTACAAATTTGTCTATGCAATTTGTTTTAACTAAAAGTTTAAAAGGCAAAAAAGGAAAATAAATATGCACGCGTTAATATAAAATAATAATTCACTTATATAAAAGTTCAAATGTTTTCATTAGCTTTACTGTTAAGTTCTTACTCTTTTTTTTTTGCACTACTACCTAGAAAACATCTGCCTATCCGATTAGTTTATTTAATTCAAATGAGGCCATTTTACCAGAACAAAAATGAGTCGCTTTGGAAAGTGAAGCTTTTGCAGAGCAAGAAGTGCTTCAGGTCTGGAGGCATTTTCACATGTGGTATATAGACCTCCTCAAAAAAAAAAAAAAAAAAAAAAATCAACCAGACCAGACTAACAACACATGTTAATGCTCCATCACCATGGAGACAGAAGCATAACGCTCCCCCAAGAGACATTTGACTGATGAACTGAGGAATACGAAGGCAAGAAAAAAGGGTCCACCTCCTCAACCCAAATTAGACAGTACATTACAACAAGTTTGAATATTTTTGGATCACAAGCTTCACAGGAAACAAAGCTCAGAGCATGTCCTAACTTTAGAAGTTGTAAACATTCCCCATCATGCCTGGGCCACTACGGCTAGTGGTCCACTGGGACTCAGACAAACCCATCAGGATGAGTTCACACAAACAGTCAGCATGCGTGCACAGTCTGAGAGGCTTTCTTTCTACATGCGTGCATGTGATGCACTTAGCTTCATGAGAGCATTAATCTGTAAATCTGCTTTGCCTTTGGGCAGGTGCTGTGAAACTTGGCGAGCAGGAGGAGGAGACAGACCAACGGACAACGTGTGAATGACAGAGACGAGTGTGAAAGAGAGGGAGGGAAAAGAAGCAATGTGCGAGTGGTGTTTAGGTTACATAAGGGCCTTTTTCAGTCTACTGTAAACAGGACGTGCACTTTTTAATGGTGTTAAAGCATGAAAGAACAAAAACAAGAATAAATCAACTTATGCTAATACAGTAGTCCCCCGCTACTTAGTGGTTCATTTTCAGCGGATTCGCTCTATCGCGGTTTTTCAAAATAAGACTGGACAAGACACACAACTGGCTGATAGATGGATGAGCCGCATGATCAGCATGAAGTTGTTATTTGAAATAAATTATTTAGCACCTGCTGCAACAGTGTGCAGCCCACAGCTGAAGGAGAAGCTTCCTCCTGCAGTGTGTGATGAACTCCGCTCTGCAGCGGTGAAGTGGGCGTGGCCAAGAGCGCTGGCAGAGTGCAGCCGAAGCAGAGAGCTGAAATCATGACATGCCGTGTTCTTTTAGAGCATTTAAAGTTTAGAAACATTGTTTGGAATATTGCAAGAGTGTGGGAAG